GATATAGATAGATAGATAGATAGATATAGAATGTATAGAGAGATAGTTCGATAGATAGTTCGATAGATAGATAGATAGATAGATATAGATATAGATAAGTATGTATGTATATATGTGCGTGTGCGCGTGAGTGTGTGTTTGTGTGTATGTGTGTACGCGTGTTGCTTCATTAGCTTTTAGTTCTTTAGGCGTTTCTTCTGCCCTTCATAATTCTGAAAATCTTTCTTAGATTATAATAATAATGATAATAACAAGTTTATAATATCCTCACACTTAAAATTAATATTATTATGAAAATAGCAACGATAATAGCTATTTTCAATACTGTTATTATTATCCTTATTATCATCATTTTTGATCAAAGTCTTGTGTCTGTCTTTCTTTCGTCTTCCGTTTTGTTGTCGGCTTGTGTCATCGTCTAACCGTTGTCGTCCTGTGTTTGTTCTGTCCCGTGTGTATATCTGTCCTTTTTGTTCTCTCTCTCTTTCTGTGTCTCTCCTGTCCTGTTCTTTCCGTTCTTTCTTTCTTTCCGTGTCTCTCCTGTCCTCTCTTTTCTGTCGTATGTCCTATGTCGTCGTTCTGTATGGGCCGTTTATCCTGCGCCAGACTTTCTTTTCGTCTTCCGAAAACAGACAGACAGAGAGGAAGGCAGACACGATGAAGGTCCGGAAGGCGTCCAGGGTGTGTGCGAACTTCATCACGAGGTCCTTGTGGATGCTGAGGAAGGCAGTGCCGTAGCCGCCCTTGCCCCGCTGCCTGGGCGCCATGCCCGTGCAGTCGTGGATCTAAGCCCGAGACGGAGCGGGCACCTGGAATGCTGCGCAGAAACGCGTGAGGACGCTAATCTCTGCCTCGACCAGCCTCCTCGGGACCGAAATGCTCTTGAATTTAATGGAAAACAGCGTGGCGGAACACTTCCCGAAGAGCGCGGCCGGTTTCTTGGGCTGAATGGGCGTCGTGAGGCTCTCCTGCTGCGAAGTCCGCACCTCACTGACAGCTGTCTTGGCTTCTGCTGAGGCTCGGCGCTTTCGCGCTTGGCGGGGCGCACCTGCTTCGGGGAGGAAAAAGCGACCGACTGCTGAGGGTAGCGTCGGCCCTCTGGAGCCCCAAGGACTCCACGATGTCGAGAAAGTCGGCGTCGAAATTCATGGTCGTGACAAACTCCGCAGGGTTTCTAACACCTGTGGTCGCTGGCGGCGTTTTGGGAAGCAGGCTTTTAGAGTGCTTGCCTTTGCTCAGCGTGCAGTACTGGCGGAGGCTTGACGTTGCTTTCACAGAGTGAATGAAGACACGTCTGACCTGTACAAGCACGAACACTCATCGGTCGGTATGTCTGTTGTCCTCTTCTTAATTTTCTTATCTTTTATCTGTTACTTGATAAACGCGTCTCCTTTGGTTGTCTCTCTCTTTTCCTTCTCATTTTCAGGTTTGCTTTTCGGTTAATGAAATGCGGCGTCCATCCCCGCAGACTTTTACACACAACATGCCACTGAAATGACATCAAACAATGGAAAACGACTTGCATTTTCTGACAGATTGTTTGCCACGTTATCTTTGTTTATGTAATTTTGTATTAAGGCGGAGTATTTTGTTATGTTATGTTATTTGTTATCATTATTCTGTTAGTACTACAGTCGTTATATTAAAATGTAAATAAATGATCTCTCTCTCTCTCTCTCTCTCTCTCTCTCTCTCTCTCTCTCTCTCTCTCTCTCTCTCTCTCTCTCTCTCTCTCTCTCTCTCTCTCTCCTGTTCTTCGTCCGTGGGAGGATCCCTTTCACCATCAAAGTGACGATGATCTGTGAAACAGGATAAAAGGCATCCGTAAATTGTTCAATAGAGGTAGGCGCTCTATTAGAGATTAGACGCAAGGCAATTGTAAGCTAACTACTGCGGCTGAAGCACTCAGATAATAATATTGTAAAGATACTTGTTGGGGTAAATAGCATTTATAACTATATATATAACTATATAACTATATATATATATATATATATATATATATATATATATATATATATATATATATATATATATATGTGTGTGTGTGTGTGTGTGTGTGTGTGTGTGTGTGTGTGTGTGTGTGTGTGTGTGTGTGTGTATGTGTGTGTGTATGTGTGTGTGTGTGTGTGTGTGTGTGTGTGTGTGTGTGTGTGTGTGTGTGTGTGTGTGTGTGTGTGTGTGTGTGTATGTGTGTGTGTGTGTGTGTGTGTGTGTGTGTGTGTGTGTGTGTGTGTGTGTGTGTGTGTATGTGTGTGTGTGTGTGTGTGTGTGTGTGTGTGTGTGTGTGTGTGTGTGTGTGTGTGTGTGTGTGTGTGTGTGTGCGTGTATATGTTCTCATATTCAGCTGTGATTCATTTCTTTTTACGATCCACTCTTATTTTTGGCAGTGTAATTAAGCCAATATTTATACTTCTTGAACCCTTCCCCCCCTCTCTCTCTTTCGCTTTCTCTTTCTCTCTTTCTATAAATACATCCATCAATCCATATATCTATCACTCGCCCCCCCCTCTCTCTATCTATCTATCTATCTGCCTCTCTTTCTCTCTCTCTCTCTCTCTCTCTCTCTCTCTCTCTCTCTCTCTCTCTCTCTCTCTCTCTATATATATATATATATATATATATATATATATATATATATATATATATATCAGCGACAAAGGGAAATTAACTTCTTAAAAGAAAAGAAGAAATAAGCAACGTTCAAATCAGCTGATGGTAAACAAAGTTACATGAAAGGGATGGTAAAACTTTTTCCTTTGAGGTTTTAAGAGAACTAAAACTATAAAATTTTTTATTGATATTACTTTTAAAGTGTCCGAATACTACGAATTGCTTCTCTGTTGCAACCACGTAGCTTCTATTCGCATGCAAGCCGCACTTAAAATTAATGAAGAAACAAAAATATTTTTTCTCTAACTTCTATTATATTTTCGAAACAAATATAAAAGAGAGGAAAATAAAAAAAAATCGGGTGACACCAAAGAACTTTTTTTCTTCTCTGTTTTTATTTATTTTCATTTTATTTATCTTTTATTATTATCATTCTTAGTTTTCTATTTCCTTGTTTTCATTACTTTATGTCTCGAATTGATGTTTTTTTTTAATGAATTTCCACTTTTGTTTATTCTTATATTTATTAATTTTCATTGCTAGCTGCCCTTGTTTTTATTCCCTTACTTACTTATTCATATATATTATTTCACATATTTCTTATCTATTTATATACTTAATCAACTTAATGCATATATTCACTTAGTTATTTTCTCATCAGTTCATGAATTAATTTAAGTTTTCGATCACTCATTCATTTATTTATATATTTTATTCATTCATTATATTTATATTGTTTGTTTGTTTGTTAGTTTATTTGTTTGTTTGTATGTTTGTTATGCTGAGAGACTTATTTCTGATTTAGGAAGTTTGTTCCATATCTGGTATTTTGAAGGCTACATATATAGACTTATAACTAATCATTTGGACACATTAGGAAACAAATCGAATATAGATACACTTTAGATATATACATAGATAGACAAGAAATAGAAGAAAAACATAAAGAAAGAGTGAAATCATATTTCATTAATATTTGTTCGAAGTATTTCCCTATAAAGATAAACACACACACACACACACACACACACACACACACACACAGGGTGAAGTTAGACAAAAATGACTTTATAAGTATGAACACAAGAAGGACGAGAGGACACAACAAAAAGTTGAAAGTGAAAAAAGACGAGAAAGATGTCTAGAAGTTCAGTTTCAGTTCAGTTCAGTTCAGAACTATTGAAACGTGGAACAGTCTTCCAAGTAACGTTGTGTGTGCCTGAAATGTATATTGTATATTGAAACAACCAGGTAAGAACACACACACACACATATACTCACGCACATGCATGCACACACTCACACACACGCATGCACACACACACACACAAACACACACGAAACACACACACACACACGCAAGCACACACACACACACGCAAGCACACTCACACACACACACACACAAAAACACACACGCATGCACACACACGCGCAGGCACGCACGCCTGCACACACACACACGCACGCACGCACGCACACACACATACACACACACGTACACACACACGCACAAACACACACACACATACACTTGTATACACATCAATTCCTTATGCACAGACGTATTTTCTCGCCAAAGAGATTGTAGAAATAAAAAACGCCATTAAAAGGAAAATAAAGAAAAGCAAATATACCTCAACTGATCAGTTTATTTCTCAACTTCTAGGAAAATGTGATCAGACAAGGAGACTGGAGATCTTTCATTCAGGGAAACAGATAAAAAAAAGAAAAGAGAGATAGAGAGAAAAAAATTGGACAGCTTGACAACACTTTTGACTTGACAGGTAAGGCCGAAACTCTGAAGACACACGTGACAGTACAGCTCAACCTTGCAATGAGGATAAGGTGCAATATGTGTGCAACATTTTCTTTTCTTTTTCTTTTTAATTCTGTTTTATATTTCCTCATTTGTTGTTTGTTTGTTTCTTTCTTTATATACATTATTCTTCCCATTCTCTTTTTTTCTTCTTCCTTATTCCTTTCTCCTTTCCCCCTACTCTTTTTACCCTTTTCTCTCTTCTCCTCTCCCTCCTTCCTCCTTTCCTCCTCCTTTCCCCTCTCTTCTTCTTCCCCTCCACAAGGTATGGCTGAATGTCCTGTGTGTCTTTAGCATTTGGTCCAAAAATCATCATTTTAAGAGAGAGAGAAATGAGATAAAAAAAAAAATAAATAAATAAAATGAAGCCATCAGCCGGTGGAATATTTCTGTTAATCGAAGATCTGTCTTGCAAGAAATCTAGACAAAGTTGATCTAGAAAGTTCTAGACAATCTTCTTGACAAAATCCAGTCATTATTATTTTTTTTTTTGCAACAATTTTCTCCAACATGAAAAGTTCCTCTACAAATGTCTCGATGCTCATGCAACTTAAAAATTACAGAAATATGAAAAGAGAAAAAAATGTTTATTAGATCTACAAACCACGATATGTATTCAACATTAAATATTACATTATGATATCTTTGTATAAATAGTGATTACATTATACTAAAGTGTTCATAGTGTACATGTACATTTTGACTTCCAAAGTTTTTTTTAAATATTATTTTCTATCATACAGACATTATTGAAGCATTTCAAATAGCTGAGATTAAAGCAACTTAGTGAGATACAATGAGTTAATTACAGTATCATCATTATCAACAGTATTCTAAGAAATCAAACGACTGCATGCATCTATGAATGATAAAGAGGTTAATTAACTAAGTCCAAGATACTGTGATGAATGCCAGTAATTACAGCAGAAAATTATGTCACAATTACAAGTCTGAAAATAAAAAAGAAGCAAAAATATACAAGTATTCACTCAATGTTCTTTCAAAAAAAAAGTTAGATCACGAGTGACTCAAATACATGTATGACTTAAAAAAACAAATGTTTAACGAATATATAAATAAAATCAATAGTTTGTTGGCTTGTTGGCCTTCGATGAGAAAGAAAAAGAGAAAAAAAAATAACACAAAAAACAGAGGAGTAAAGTTTCCACACATTCAAATTTTGGCACCTCTCTGATCTACAAAATCTTTCTTCATCAAGTTTGCCAAAAAAAAAGAAACAAAAACAAAAATCTTTCAGCGTTGTTGACTCCATATATTCATAAAAACTGCACTTATGCAAATGTACAAACAGATTATAGTAAATTCTAATGTACACAACACTACACACAGACGCACTGTAACCTAGCGATCACAATATATAGCAGGTAAACAACATGGGACCGAGTGGGAGTTACTGGCGCAGAGCTGGAACTACCTGGCTCACCTTCAATCGTAAATGGGGCATTATCATATACGTATAATATATAATGGCATTTGGAATGAGATGCTACGATCGTTCCCAAGCTGTGAGGCAGATCCCGACCCTGGCCCCACGCTCGTTACCGCTGCGCACCCTGAAAGTGGTTCTCGATGCGTTCGACTTGGCTGCTAAATTTGCTCTCCTGTGGGAGGTTCTGGCGGATTTGAAGCGAAAATCCGCTCAACCTGATTCATTCGAGCGGGAATTTGACCAGATGGCAAGTTTGTTTATCATTAGGATTATTGGTATTGTTATTATTATTATTATTATTATGGATGTTTTTTTTATCATCATCGTTATTACGTGTGCGTTTCTACAGAACAAAGTGACAAGCTAATTTATTATTTTTTTTTTCTTTCTAATTTGAAAGACTACATTGAATAGATTTAATGGCGTGTTTATGAATTTGGTTATAAATATATTCAACACGTCATGAACAAGTTTTCCATTTCTTCTCGTGGTTGGTTGACAGAAGAAAGGCTTGTCCACATTCCAGGCATTCGTCGCTGTTCCTCTTCTCCCATTGGCTGGCGGTGGTAAAGCTTTTTTCCTATTGGCTGGAGATGGCGAAGATGGGTGGGCCTTTTTTTTCCGATTGGCTGGCGGTGGGGAGGTTGGTTCCCATTGGCTGGCGTGGCGCGACGCTCCCTGCCTCCAAAATTGTATTGTGACCTGTAGGGTAGAAATAAACACCAATTTCGTAAATGCGAAGGAATACTTCGGAGATTATTATCGCCTACGCTTTCTGTGGCCATTTTTAACTCACTGGGAGAAGGGAAGGCGAGAGAGAAACGGAGAAGCAAACACACAAGGGGAAAGAGTGATAGAGAACGAGAGCCAGGCGTAGAAACTGGATTTATTACCATATAAACTCTCCGCGTAGACATGTTTATTAATATGCATGCCATCATGTACACACGCACGTACACACACCATTAAAACCCACACACCGGCCCGCCCAACCTAGAGTTTATCCACCCATGACAGCCACTTCTAAAAATAGCAAGAATAACGTCTCTTCTCTCTGTCTCTCTCTGTCTCTGTCTCTCTCTCTCTCTCTCTCTCTCTCTCTCTCTCTCTCTCTCTCTCTCTCTCTCTCTCTCTCTCTCTCTCTCTCTCTCTCTCTCTCTCTCTCCTCTCTCTCTCTCCCTCTCGCTCTCTCCCTCTCACTCTCTCCCTCTCTCTCCACCCCTTTCCCTCCCCTTCCCTCTCCATCTCCCCTTCCCCAAGTTATTAATACGCCATATCCAGTCAGGTTGTCCGAAGACGTGGGGGTAGAAGGGGCGAGCGGAGACAAGAGGAGGAATACACAGGCCAGATATAGACGCCACGCAGAGGGCAGCCATTTGCCAACCACCGCCGCCATTTTTGTTTTGAACGTTGGCTGCGCTCGCGGGGACTACCGGCATATTGCATTTTCATTTTTATTTCCTCTTTTTTTTTGTTTGGTTTGTTATTTCCCCGTGATTCTCTTTTTTGGTAATTGTTGATTTATTGACTAGTTGTGGGGTATGGGGGAAATTTGTGTGAATGACTTATGCCTGATTAAAAGATCAAGGCCAATAGTTGTGATATTTTTCACGTTGAATTATCGTCTTTTATAATTGCTTAATTTTTTATCATATGCAATATCAGACGATGTTTAGACAATTAATCCAAATGCCTTTTAAGAATTGAAATCATCAGGAACGGTGAATTTCAAGGTTATTTCAAGGAGGCTTACAGAAAATGTAATACAATATATATATATATATATTTTATATATATATATATATATATATATATATATACATATATATATATATATATATATATATATATATATATATATATATATATTGTATTAAAGTTCGATGTAACAATACAAAATAATGTATCCACATGTATGCATACACACACACACGCACGCGCACACACACACACACACACACACACACACACACACACACACACACACACACACACACACACACACTCAGAGATGTATTGTTATATCAAATTTTCTCATCTCTTTCAGCTAGAGCAAGTGATAACATTTCACGAGTCACTGCACCAAAATTAGTTAGGAGGACCGTTTAGGCTTTTAGTCGGAGGAGAGGCCAGGCATCGCTCTCGGCAGGGCAACCACAACGCTCCACCAGCCTACCTGAGCTAATGTCACGACAAGCTCAGTAGTAACGATGGTTGATGTCATGGACAGTCATGGAGTGGCCAGGGAGGTCATGAAAATGCCTGCATGAGAAGTGTTTGCATCTTTTGGCTTTTTATGCTTTATTCAACTGCAAACAGATCATTTTTTCTTTTTATATAATTGTGATTATAATATGGATCTACGAATTAATTCATCCATCATTCATTTTATTTAAGAGTAGAATTAAAAAGTGATAGAAAATAAAACATTTTGTAACAGATGCAAAGAGCTTCGCCCAGGTGTTGCCGCGAGCTAATTACCTTTTCAAAAGACCTGCACACGGTGGTTCTCTCGGTCGCAGACGAGGATGTTGCCGTTGGACATGACTGCCACACCCTCCAGGCCCTTGAACTCTCCCTCGCCAGATCCCCAGCAGCCGAAGGCCCTGAGGAAGGCGCCGTCGGGGTGGAAGATCTGGATGCGGTTGTTGCCGCTGTCCGCCACGAAGATGTAGCCCTGGTCGTCCACGGCCACGCCCCTGCGGAGTAGGAGGGCGGGTCAGGAGGCGAGGGGGAGGAGGATGTCCAAGGGGACTGAGTTAATACGGTCAGTACTGATTTTTGTCACTGAGAAGTAACTACATTTGCTTACCTTGGGAACTTGAACTGTCCTTCGGCGCTGCCTTCTGTTCCGAAGGTGTTGGTGACCTTGCCGTTGATGTCGAACACCTGTATCCTGTGGTTGTTGGAGTCGGACACGATGACGCGGTTGGTGGAGGACACGGCGATGTAGTGCGGGTGCTCCAGCTGGGCGGGTTTGTTGCCCATGGAACCGAACTTGCCGACGAAGGACCCGTCGGACTGGAACACCTGCACGCGGTGGTTCTCCTTGTCACACACGTAGATGAAGCCGAGGGCGTCGGTGGTCACGCCCCAAGGGTAAGAGAACCGCCCGTCGCCGCTGCCTTGGCTTCCGAAGGCGCGCAGGAACATGCCGGACGGATCGAAGATTTGAATTCTGTGGTTGTAGCGATCGGCAATAATGAATTGGCCGATCCTGTTGACTGCCACACCTGCCAGGCAGTCGAACTCTCCTTCGGCGCTCCCGTAGGAGCCAAACTCTTTAACAAACTTGCCGTGCTGGTCAAACACCTGCACGCGGTGGTTGCTCGAGTCGGCAACCACTATGCTGTTGTCAGGTCCAACAGCTATGCCTCTTGGCCATGTAAAATTTCCTGGTTCACTACCCCTACTCCCGATCTTAAGTAAGAGGCGCTGCTTCTGCAGGTACTGGCTCCTATGTAAACTTCCGAACTGTGTAGGAACCAGTATACCTGCTTGTTGGGAAGTAGGGGTAGCGTGCACGTTTTTTGAATCGTCTTCAGAAGATTCTCCCTCTTTGGCGAGGCCAAGAAGGTGTGAGGAACGGGACCGCGAGATGGCTCTGCCACCCAGCGCGGACCCCGTGCCCGTGCGTGAGCTACCAAGTGAACTCCCGGCACCGGTGGAACTGGTGCTGCTGCCGAGGCCGCTACTGCTGCTGCCTAGGCCTATGCTTGTGTTTCTCCCGGAGGGGGTGCTGCTCTCGCCGCTGCCGGACCGGTTGCCGTACTTGTTCTTCAGGTACCGGGCCCAGTTGGAGAGCTGCGTCGAGGAGGACCCTCCTTCCTCGCCGCCGCCGGACGCCCCCGAGGTCGAGGCAGATGTGCGTGATGTCGTCGACGTCTCGGGTTCGGTGCGGCCGTAGCGCGGGCGGTAGGCGGAGGCGGAGGACGTGTCGGCTGACGACGTCTCGTCGTCCTCAAGCCCCGCCGAGCTCTTGCTTCGCGCCAGCCGCTGTCTGCGCTCCTTCAGCTCCTCGAAGCGCGCCCTGCTGCTGCCGTGAGAGGGCGAGGAGGTCGAGTCCTCGTCGTCGGGGCCCAGGACGGCCGAGCTCTTGGAGCGGTTCAGGAAGCGGCTCTGGAAGGGGTGCTTGGACTCCTCGTCGGGCACGCTGGCCCGAGAGCGGCTCAGGATCTTGCTGGCGAAGGGGTACTTGGAGTCGAAGTCGTCGTCCTTCTCCTTGGACGGGGCTTTGGTCTCCATGTACGAGGGGCGTCTGTGACTCCCCAGGCCAGAGTCGGTGCTGCTGCTGGAAGCCGAAGCACCATACCTGCTGGAGGAGGTACTGCCGTTGCTGTTGTCGCTGCTGCTGCCGTACCTGCTGCTGCTTGAGTACCCCGAGTCGCCTCCGCTGGGAGGGACCGAGGTGTAGGAGCTCCTGTCGCCCCAGTTATTCCTAGAACTAGAACTACTGGCTACGTCGCGAGCCTGGGCACTGCGCCCCAGCAATGGCCCAACGTCCGGGCGAGAGTACTCGGATGTTGCCTCCTCCTCCTCCTCCTCCTCTGACGACTCTTCGCTCTCCTCGGACTCGGAATCATCGCTGCTCTCCTCCTCGTCGTCGTCGTCGTCCTCATTCCCTGATTCCTTCGAGGCCTCCACTGAGGGAGTACCGGCTCGGCCTAAAAAACGCGATGAGAAGCGGGACGCGCCGCCCGCACTCGACGAGCGCGACGCGTCGGACTTCGAGGTGGACGGCTTCGAGTCCGTCCTCATGAAGCGGTTCCGCAGCTCCTCCGTGGAGAAGGCGGCGCCCGTGTTCTTCTTCGGCGACGCGGCTCCGTCTCCCGAGTTGCTGTCGGTGCTGTTGGAGCGGGACAGCTTGCGCTCGTACGTGGTAGCGTCCAGCGTCCGCGGGCTCCTGTTGCCGCTGGCCTTGTCTCCGACGGACGAGTTGGACGACGAGCGGCTGAAGGGGTACGAGCGGTGCGACACGCTCGTGTCGACGCTCGTCTTGCGCGACGGCGTGGAGCCATTGGCCCCCGAGGCGCTGTAGTCGCGGCGGCGGTCGTCCTCGCGCGTGACGGACGACGACGGCGAGTGGTTCGCCGACGACCTCGGGGAGGTGGAGGTGCGGTCGCTGCGGCTCTGGCGCTCGTCCTCGCGGATGGAGGACACGCGCTCGCCCGCGGGCTTGGGCGTGGTGGGCGTGCTGGGGGTGGAGGCGCCGGCCGGGGTGGCGGCGGTCGCGCCCCCGGAGGTGGACTCGGCCGCCTTGTTCTGCTTCTTGATCTTGTCGATCTCGTCCTCGTTGCTGGTCTGGCGGGCGGGCTTGCGCTGCAGGGGGGTGACGGGGGGCTTCGGCGCCGTGTTCTGTGCTGGCTTGGCTGGTTCTTCCTTCTTCTTGTTCTTGTTCATGTCGCGCTCCTGGAAGCGCTTCATGACCCGCGGCGAGTCGGTGATCCTGACGATGCCCGACAGGGGGCCGCGGGAGACGTCCTCGGTGTCGATCACGCGGTTTCGCTTGGGTCCGTCCTCCTCGGAGAAGCGAACCGAACGCTCCTCGTCTTCTTCTTTGCGCATGAACCGCGACCGGAACCGCCGCCGCCCAGAGTCAGCCGAGGAATCCTCGTCGTGCCTGTGAGGACAACAGGTGAGCGGGGCTGAGGAGGTGGAGGACCGCAAGAGGAGATCCTTTGGGAGA